GTTCAAACTCTCGTTTAAACCGAATTTTCCAGTATTTTTTACTAATACAGTAATACTAATGGCACCGCCCTCTTCGTTATAACGGGTTCACTTTGTATTCCTACTAGTATCGATCATATGATTGATGGCATTGTAAGTACCATATCGTTAAAGGAATCCCAAGTTTAATTTTAACTGGCGGATATGTACGTGTAATACAGACAACATGATAGACTAAATCTGTCAAATAACAATAATAGCCATTTAAACCAAGAAAAATATGTCTATGCTCAATCTCTAAACCTTTTCCCAATTTAGTTACTTTCTGTTCTATTTATATCAAACACCAGATTTCAGATAAGCTTAAAATATTTAAATTTTTAACCATGCCAAAATGTATTGTGAACGTTAATAGGTGTAGGAGTTATCGAATCTAGTAGATGCCAACCTTTCGCAAGAAGTTAATGTTTACACTCGGTCATGATTATTTGAATTAGCTCGTTGATGAAAGTAAACCAATCTTATATTTCATTCCCATGCATGAAACCGGTTCACTAAATACTAATAAATGCTAACATGTCTTCATTTTTTTATATTATGCTTACGCAGTTTGTCTATTAATTTGATAATATAAATATTTACTACTGCGAGAATAATGGGCCGATCCTTTCCAAAAACAATTAATAATTGTTTTGTATTTTAGCATCGCCTCAGTTGGAACGAGTACTTTTTTGGACTGTGTTTTACGCTACGATTTGATTATTCTAGCTATGTTCGAATTAACTTTATTGACGAAATAATCAATAGCTGATTGCTTCGAATTACGGCTGCACGAGCATAGAGATATTGATCAAGAGGTAAACGCCGTTTGCGATATCTATTGTCTTCAAAATTTTGTGGTATATCCTATTGTTGCTGCTGTTCTTTGCTCACGTTCAGCTACACGTTTGATCAAGTTGCTCCACAGGACAATGCAACTACTATGCCATTAAGTATCTCTTCTGCCTGTCTTTATGGAAAAGGGTCATTGATCGGATTTCGTTCATGAAGGATTTAATCCTTACACATTTGGAAAACATGTGTTCCAATGTTTCCTCATATCCGATACACAGGTTGGTATACTTGGCAGGGTGATATGCGACAGTGGCCTTTGTTCGGCTGTGCATTGTAAGCAGTATTTCCTGTATTTTGGGGGCAGATCACCATTGACCAGGTGAACGGCTGGTTTAGTGTTTTAGGTTCACGGTTATAGTTATGTAAGTTTGGCTTAACCTATAACATATTCAATTATTCTAACTTTAAATCGATTTCTTCATACAGAAATCTCAATTGAAACAGTCAACTGGATGTCGGACTATTATTGGGTTGTGTTATAACAGGTTATTTGGCTATTAGAGTATCTCTTCGACACTGATAATAAGTTTGCTGCCTAGCGCGGATGCCAATAGTGTTTGTTGATTGCTATTATTTATTATTGTTACAATACATTGTATAAAATAATGTTAGTGTAAAAACTTTTAGTGTAAACTAGAACAATTCAACGTTCAATAACAGCCTTCACTATGAATTAGGCTGACCTTGGTGCATATTATTATTCACTTTGTTGCCTTTTAACTTCTTGCACAGATGATGCTCTACCATGTCAAAATCAAACTTTGGAAAATTTGAAATACCAAGTTTCTGTAGATACGTGGTGGTATTTATTTCTATTACCCAAGATCAATTTAATTTTAAATAAACGCCCTATAAACAATCTGTAACAGTTTTGCAAACTAAGATATATTAACTCCTCACCACTGAATATTTCAATATTATAACCTCGTACCAGTCTAAAAAGTCTTTTTTAAACTCGTTAACGCTTGTGCCAGCGCAAAAGTTTTCAGTGGTCTATTGTAATCTATTGCAAGCATTCAAGCGTGCGTCACGCAAATTGAACAAGTTCTTATTTTTAGATAAAATTTGAGACTGGGACACATTTGAGGCTGGAAAAGCAGGTTATACAGTAAGTGCATCTAAGTTTAAATAATGGTTTACTTTTACATTAACTGTTTCAGAGAAGAGAAATTGATGATTATGTGATTAGATATGTGTTGTGGCCACAGCTTGCGAAAGTCACCAGTCAGGTACCCAGTCCTGGCGTACGGTGGACGGCCTGCTGTGAACGTTCTTCAATGGTCTTGACTATAATGATGCATTTAATTTGTATATTTATACAGTACCGGACGGGGTGATGGAGGAGTTGACTTAGCTTTTCATCACAGGCGTATATTAATATACTATGTCATCCAATGCAAGGACCGACCCATAGAAGAGGAATATAGACCTCAACATAAAATTTTATGGAGTGTTAAAAATTTTGAAATTTTTGATGCTATTTTATATTTGTATAATTAACTGTGGTAAAGTTATTTATCTAATAACTGGTGAAATTAAACCCTATTGTTAAATCAACATGATTGTCGGCCATCCCAAAATTCCAAATTTAATGCGTTAGTAAAAACTTTATTATCTTGTGGTAACGGAAGGATAATAAATGCAATTCCGCTTTAAAGTCTTCTGAAGCGATTATTCGTGAAGAAGGAGATTATTGTAGCAATAGACTTCTGCTACGACAAAGAAAGCTTTATAACGAACGTATTAGTTTGTTGTTCGTGCTGTGTTAATGCACTTTATCACATGACTCATTTTGAGGTCAAAATCGTCCGTTGTAATAGTAAGAGCAGAGCATAAACGTTATATTTAATGTTGAACTCGGAAATTAATGTTGCAGGTTGAACAGCACATACTTACCTATATAATGCATTTAAGACAGTTGATCGAACTAATTGTTCTTAATTCCTCTCATGCATTTTCGGGGATTCTTCTGTGCGATATATATTTTTTAGCAGCATATTCTGCTAATTTACCTGTTTATACAAATCCATATATCGCCACATTTTTCGTGCAAATCTACTAAATTCTTTGAAAGTCTGTTGCCGAATCAACATCACTTCCCCGATCACTTAACTCATCGTTTTCCCAAGGATTTTCACTCGATTCTGTATCAATCGGATTGAGTTCATCTTCTTTAATAAATTTGTCTCTCTTATCTCGAGATACTTGTTTATGTGCGGCTTTCTTTTAATTGGTCGAGGCATAGTAAAACAAAAAGAATGTTACCAATAATAACACGAGAAAAATAAATGCTAAACATATCGCTATCGCTTTATTGGATAACGGATCATTACACACAAAACGGTATGTCCGAAATTTCAGAAAACTGTTACTTTTCAATCCCTAAAACTCGAAACTTTTTTAGTTGATTAAAATTTTAAACCGTAACTTTTATTCTGCTTCGTCTGCTCTATCATTCTTTCTCTAAACCCTCTAATATAAAAGTCTTAGGGTTTTGAAAGTTGGGTATTTTATTTCGGGCTATAGATGTCCTGCACCATAGTACATCTTTATTATTATGATAATCGTTAACTTAAATAGTTATGTCCGTATTAATTCAAGAACGCAAGGATTCTTTATCATATGTCAATGTATCCCAAGATTATACAATAGTATTCAACATTTCTGTTATATTTTCTCAGTTTTTCTAGTCAAATGTCACCTGGCACTTTCATACAGTTGAGATAATAATTACATCATGTACAATGTCCAAACCAGTTTACACCATCGTGCACGAACATTCAACGTTAAACAATAATATAACAAACTAAATACCACACACGACAACATGTCCTTGCAGTCAATACTAACCGCCTGGCCCATACATGAAATTCATTACTTTGTTCGAGTTCGACATGTTTAATGACATCAGGTTCTGCACTCATCATATTTATTGTTATATTGTATCAAAGAGTTGCAGTTACAGATCCCCATGATTGAGGACAACCATGCTTCTTTGAGCGTTTTATCTGATTCTACTGTATAATTTAGAGACAAAAATAGCGCTGCTTCATTCAATAAAGTTTAAGTTTAGGGTCATTAGCTAGGATTTCTAATTTTGTGCAAAGTTTTAAAACTACTATTAATGCATACATTCATATTTTTAATAAAATGACAGCAGGGTCCAACTCATTGCAATACATACTATACGGTTGGATTATACGTTCTTGATAGGTGACATTAGGAATATAAATACGGTGTTAATTTACGAACTTACTATAAAACATTAATATAGTCAATGCACTGCTTCATATTGCAACGCTTGCAAATGTATTATCAGAAGTGTTATAGTTAACTCCCCGATCTAGCAGATAGAGATTCATCTCATCATCAGAAAGAGTAAATTCGGAATAATGTCAGATTCATCGTTATGGAGATAAAAGTACTTACGAAAAGAAATTAGCATGCTTTCAAGCCAAGTGCAATATTGACACTGGCTTGTTTCAATTTTGCTCTTGCCTTTCGATCATAATCGTGTGAAATATATTTTGCCAATCCTTTAGCGATGTAGTAATAGCGGAATCACCACCGACACCTAGTGATTTACGAGTAGATAATCACTTTGCGAACAAGAAAAAAACAGAGTACGTACTAGTACAACTCATCTTGAAGCCGAATTTTCCGAAAGTTGATTAGAAATTGAAATAGACAGAAGCTCGATTGAATGGGCTCGATTCACCGCAAACAAACCGGTATCAATTACTTGTTGCGAACTGCTGTTGCAAGTTAAGCCATTGACTTCGATCTGCATGCAAAAGACAACGTTTAAAGGAAAAAAGCTAGCAATAACGGATAGACGTTCCATCCGTTAGCTGGGGAGACATTGAAGAACTATCGGAAATGTAAAATGGGATGTATATGACCCATAAAAACTGTATTTTTATCCAAAAAGGTAAATTAAATCTATCTATTTATCACATATGTCAATTCTTCTCTGATTGACCAAAACTTCTTTTTTTACAAGTCCTTGTCTTTTCCACTGCATCCAGAAATATCTAGAACCATCATATTAAATTATTAGAATCAAAAGAAAGAAAAATAGTCAGAGATATTATAGTATGATTTTATACCATATCAACACACTCTAGTTATTTTCGTAGTTGCAATTTGACTATAAAACTTGTTCTTGTTTGAATATCATCTTCAAAGAGAGTTTTCATTGTTTTGTTCCTTTTTTTTTTGGGCGTTTGAAATTCAGCTGAAAGATCAACATCATTCGAATCTCGTTTCTTGCTCTGACTTGCTGACTTGATTGTGTTCGTTTCTTTCTCCTCTGAGAGTTCACTTTGCATTGTTGCAGCAATATTATTATTTTCGTCGATTCCACATATATCTCCCTCTTCTTCTTTAGTCTTGCGAGTTTGCTCCACCTCATCCTCGTTCATCTCATCCTCATCCTCATTCACCTCGTCCTCATTCACCTCATCCTCATTCACCTCATCCCTATTTACCTCATTCTTATTCACCTTATTCTCATTCACCTCATCCTCATCCACCTCATCCTCATTTACACCAGCCTCATTCGCACCATCCTTTTTTGCATCATCCTTGTTCATACCATCCTCGTTCACGTCATCGTCCTTCACATCATTCCCGCTCACGTCATCCTCATTCACAAAAATCCCGTTCAACACACTTTCTCTCCACATCCTCTCTCTTGCTTCTCTTTCTTTCCTCTCACTCCTTTCCAAAGCATAGGCTCTCAACTTTTTACAACTTTCTCTTCCTTCAGTTTCCTTCATCACTCGATCAAAGTTCTCCTTTATCCACTTTTTCGAGGAAATTAGCATTCGATCTTGGATGTGTGAGGCAAGTGCTTCCATTTGAAGAACGTCAGATGCGATAAGAAGATCAATGTAATCATGGGGCTGTGGAGGAGGAAGTGGGAGACGGTTTGTGTACATGAATCTGAAGAGGGATGGGGAATTATAATAAAGCAAGAGGTTTAGGATGGGGAGGGCATTTATTTATACATGCGTATATAGGAAAAAGTGAGAAAAAAAAGTGTGACTAAAATACAAACAAGGGGGACATATTAAAACCGCTACGAATTAAATCCAGCTGATAAATTGCTATTTCTATTCACTACGAGAAACAGACATCGCTCCTCAAAAGCTATCCGCTCACTCTTTCCTGTCTTGATTCAGTTGCAAAAACAAAGGAAAAGAAAAAACTCGGTCTTCTCTCCCTCTCACCTAAGTATAATTGCAAACACTTGAGATTCGATAGACTCGATTCTAATCTTTGTTGATTCTAACTGAAAGGTACGCCTCATTTCAGTTAGTCGCTTCCGAAAGTATTCAGATCTCGCCCATAGTATACACGAGTGTGCTCGAAATTCCGTTGCATTGTGGTTATCTCCTGCAACTACTGTTACGTCGCAAAGGGATCGAGAATCGAAGAGGGTTGTTAGAGACGTAAAAAAGTCTTTGAAGGACATGATTGTACAGGAAGGATAGTAATAGAGTGAATGTGTGTGTAGGGTGTGGAAAGTAGGAAGAGTCGATGGGAGAAACGAAATATTAATAAAAACGTCAGATGAAATATTTTACTAAAATATTTTGTCTTGGGAAGATGTTGCACGTGGATGTGATTATGAATCAACACGATGAAAAAAAGCTATTACTATTACTATTTATATTTATGAGATTCACCACTAATACTCCAATGCAATTGGTCACTATATGTATTATGTATCATTGACTAGTCTAACGAGACTGCGTTTAGTTTTGTCGGCTTTTTCAAGAAAAGAGATCAATATAAAATGCAACCCACAAGTGTTCGTAAATCAGGCACAGTATTCAACCGAGCGATTGCATGAGCGGCGGGAATTACTCGGACTCAATGCCATTGATGAGCATCCTTATTATAAAAATTTATGCTACAGCTCTGGTAAAATGAAGACATAAGAACAAACGCGTTCCTAAAGAATCGTTTGAACTCACGGCAATTAAAGGAACTCGCCATGTATCGTCTTTGGATTTGATCATTTAAATTTGTTATGCGGAACTCTCGTTTCCATGAAAAAGGATTAAGCCCAAGAGGAAAATATGTAGCAAGAGGTTATTGTAAACTCTACATAATTGAATAGATATTATACTCACGTTGGCGATTTACTATCAGCTATTGAATTCTTTTCTTTTGCATTTCTCGCGAAAGAAAAGCCAATTACGTTTACAATGCACCCTTTTTTTGATTAATTAATATCACGATTATTTTATTAGTTATCGTAATATATAATCCGGAATATTAAAATTTTACATCGAATTAAATTATTTCGTAATATCTTTTTGCACGAGACAAAAGCTCTATAGGCTAGCTATTTGATATTTGAATTCACACTATGTTTCGTTACATCTTCACATATTAAATTATACTATCTTTATTAGCATGTTACATACATCCCGTCGACTTTCATTTTGGGGTCGTGATGAGTGTTGGAACATTTTTCTGTTCATAACCAACTTCGGTTATAAGCTTACCAACAGCTATTGCGTTTAGACTTTGAACATCAGTTAGGAATTCCTGGCCTATTGGTGGTATCTCGCCGCCAGCCTCAGGCGTAAAGGTAATCGGAGGGAAGGTAGTATTCTGCTGGGCCGCTAAAACAACAGGCGTGGTAAAATTATGGCTCAGGGTTGCAAGTTTTTTCCCTTTGTAAAACGACGTGGAGCCGAAACCAAGCATACTAATCTCTGTATCAATATTGTTAAATACAGTAAATGTCACATTCCCGCTTGTCAAACTAGTCATTGTTATGTCAATATGTTGAACTAGATTGGCGGCTGGTGCTTGTAAGGTTTCATTCAATGCAAGCTGTTTGAACGGTACTTCCAGCCACGGCACGGGTCCACCAGCGCCAGGTGGGCTGACCGACTTTCCTACAGCAGTTATTGGAATGGGCTTTCCAGCAACAAAGGCCGAGAACAGTAGTCCGATAAATTTCGCGTTTTCTGTAGTTTGTAGAATTTCGGCGGCAAGTTTTACGTCGACAGGCTTTTGTGGGCTAAATTTGACACCTGATGAACTTGCATCCCCAAAAACAATTTTGTTGGATACCACTTCGAAAGTAACACTCCCAAGATCGATACCGATGTCGGCAGGATTGTTGATCGTGTTTACGATCTCTAATGCTACGCCTACTCCTTGCTTGGATGGACCCGTCACTTTAAAGCCTTTGGGCTTGATATCTTTAAGACCATTGAAACCTGAATCAAGAATGCAATCGAATAATAAAGTATCAAATTAATAACTTATTTGGTTTCAAGCATTACACAACGGATAGATAAAATTCTGGTTTTCGTGCGGGCGGACGCGTGACGATTTTCATACCCAAAAGCTTGCTTAGTATCTATTACGTACCTTTAAGGGTGATGTTTTTGTTTAGTGTAAGTCCCGTAATATCGATTAGCGGGATACTGACGACAACATCCTTGGCAAGTAAACCCCATGTGAAGGCCTTATTTGCCAACATGGCTCCAGAAAATTTCGTGAATTGCTCGATGTCGGTAATCTTGAAATCTACGTCTCCGTCAATTTTGGCCCCACCATTAGAAACACTAATTTTTGGAAGAAGCAGATTCCCAAGCTTGTTATCTCCAAACGATACTTGGACTCCGGATGGAAAACTTATGTCAGCGGGAATTGGTCCGGCACCGTTAATTGCACCATTAAGATGTGCGACGAATGACTGTGCTTTAATGTTTGAGATGGCTGAGCTAGACACACTAAGCGTACTGTTGTTAATAAACAGCTGAACTAACTTCTTTAATAAGTCACCAGCGCCGGAAGTGTTAATCTCATCCGGTGATAAATTAAGACTTTGTAGTGATGATATGGCTTCATTGATGGAGGCAAGATCTTTGGCAATGTCTGGCTTTTGTAGTATCGAAACAATTTCCTGTTCTGTCAGAGCACGCTTAGCTAAGCTGCGTTTTGTAGAATCGAACTCGGAGATTATATTGTCAATAGTGTCAATTTGGTCGGGAGTGACTGCCTTGATTTTTATAGATTTCAAGAAATCTAGATCAACCGTCAGCTTGGTGGGAACGTCTTTTTGTTGGTAAGTGATGGTAGCTGGGAGTGTAGCAACAAGCGCGCCTGTTTGGAGTGTGACATCAGTTTTCAAATTTCCGCCAGACGAGAGCATTTTAAGTAATACATTTAAATCGGTAGGAAATATGATAGTGATTTCGACCTCTGGAGATGTAGCGGTTTCACCACCAGGAACAACAATAGGCGTTTTACTGAAATCCTGGTGTACTACTCCAATTTTTTGGCCAAGGAAAAAGGCTTCGGAATCAAGAGTCTGGATAGTAAAGTCGGCACCGACAGGATTGGTCATGGTAAATTTCGCTTCTGCCTTTCCAGTAAGCAAGGTAGCAGCCGAAAGCACTACTTCAACTTGGTCGATTAGCTTGGACGGCGGGACTTGTAATACTAGATCCAGCGCAAGTTGTTTGAAGGGAATTTCCAACCACGGCACAGGTCCACTAGAACCAGGTGGGCTAACTGTGTTTCCTTTGACAACCATTGGAATAGGCTTTCCTGCGAGGAAAAGGCTGAACATTGGTCCGATCAATGCTTTGTCCTCGTCCGTTCCCAGAATTTCGCCAGACATTGACACGGTGGCTACCGATTGTGCGGCAAGTGAGAGATCTGATGCAGACGCCGTTCCAATGGGCACGCCCGAAGATAATATATCGAAGGTAGCAGCGCCCATTTTGATACCAATATCGGCAACGTCTGGGATTGCGTTCACAAGTGCGACTTCTACTCCTGGTTTGCCACTCTTTGCTGGACCCAACACGGCAAATTTCTTGATCTTGACATTTTTGAGACCGTCGAAACCTGCAAATAAGTTGTAATGTATATTCGATTATTAACTAAACTTTGCTGAATTGCTAACAGAATACAAAATCAATAACGTTTTGTTTTTTTACCTCTGAGAGTAATGCTCTTATTTATCTTAAGAGGGGTGAATTTGAATATGAAAGCCTCAACGACAACGTCATCAGCAGACAAATCCCAAGTGAATTGCTCGCTTTTCAACATGAATCCAGAAAATTGTGTGAATGCTTCGACATCAGTAATTTTGAATTGTGCGTCTTGATCGATCGTGGCACCCACGTCGGGCTGAGTGCTAACCGGTGGAAGAAGTAGTTGACCGAGTGTTGCGTTTTGGAATTTGACCGTGACTCCGGATGGAAAAGAGATTGTTGCAGGAAGTGGTCCAGTACCAGTAATTGAGCCGACAAGATGAGCCGTAAACGAATCTGCTGTAATGTTTGCGATATCCGAGGATTTTACACTGAGTTTACTACCGTCGATAAGCGCTTGAACGAGGGGGTTTGCCAGGGAAACAAGAACATCTAGAATTGATCCGCCGTTCTTGAAAATATCAGCTTTTTGTAGGGCATCGATAACATCCGCAACAGTAGGGTTTAAGGGAGGAAGATTTTTTTCTATTACTGCAAGAACATCAGTAAATGATAGATCACGCTGAGCCAGGGAACGTTTTCTCGCTGTAAAAGGGAGTTGATAGTCAGAAACTGAGTCATCAGTGTGGAGTGCTGTAGTCGATTCAGAAAGGAGATTCATATTACTTTTTAAAATTGGCGGTAATGGAAATGGAGCCGTGCTGACAGTTGGAGTCAGTGACATTGAGCGGACTGCATTGTTTACCCACGAAACGGTCTTTCCTGCCGTATCTGCAGAGACACCTTGGGCCAAGACTTTTAATTCCTGGCCTTGGGCGACTTTGGCAATGAACAGTGCCAATCCAGCAAAGCTGGTCGGGGATGAGCTCGGGTTTACAAAACCTGTCATTTCGAGAGAATTGTTTCCTGGCACCATAACTAGATCTGCAACTTCAGCAGGTCCTATAAAGGAACCTCCAAAGAAGATGTTAAAGACGGTGTGACCTATATGGATGCCAATGGGTGACGGATTGTATAGAGTTCCGGAATATTTCAATGAAAAATTTGCGCCGTTGAAATTATCCGGTAGGCTTATGTTCGTAATTCTCGTGTTCGTAAAGCCATTGCCGCCTGAATAGTTACGCGGTGCGGGTGGGACATGGGTTAGTAAAGAGTATTTTAAAGACCGTGTTGCAACGAATTTGAAAGAGTCATTGTCTATAAATTTTACCTTGAATAACGACATTTTTGTTTAAAGTCAGCCCACTTTTTGTAATGCCCAATGCCTTGATTTTAACTTTTCCTTGTATATTCCAAGTAAAGGTCTCGGCGGTCAATTGATACGTTGTAAATTCTGCAAATTTTGCTGCATCTTTGATCGTGAATGTATCGTCTACAGTAACATTCGCTTGTCCATCCCTGAGTTTGAGCGGTTCTAATGGAAGTTCGCCCAACAAGGTATCATCCCAATAAACTTGTACGGGATCAATAAAACTAGCATCAGCATCGAAACTGCCACCGCCGCTTAATGAACCTTGGATCGATATTTTGAAACTACTGTCGGTGATTGGGTCAGAGATGATTATTCGGCTGTACGTAATCTGGGATTTGTTAATTGAGCTTTGTGCTACTTTAGGGAAGACGCCAAATATAATAACCGGGACTAAAATGATTGTGAGAATGATGGTGGTGATTCCGCAAAATGTCCAGAAACTCTTTCGTTTATACCATTTTGCGGGATTTCTTTTTTTGGCATCTTTTTCGTTTCCTTCCAAAGGCCTGGTGGGGTCATCGTCTGTCGCGACGCTTTCTGGTACACCAGTTGAGTAACTTAGATATGAATCGCGTATTCCCGAAGTGGCTATAGAGTCACGCACACCATCGGTTGGCACACTAAATCTTATGTTTGTCGAATCTGAGGCAGTTTCGTCTCTGACAATTTCTTCTGCCATTGCGAGAAGTCGGGTAACGGAGGGGGATATTTTATTATTATACACCAATTAAATTGCAATATTAAGATAGTGATGTGGTTATAATGATTGTAAGCGTAGTGAAATAATGTAGAATTAAAAGTTTAAGCTTTGACTTGGTGGTTGAAAGACTTTTTTTGATGGGTTTGGAGATGAGAATTGAAGGGTTTGTCGTTCACAAGAAATAATGGCAACCAGAGACAAAGAAGAATTACCACTCCTATCCCTTTGGTTCTCAACAGTTTCGTGGATGAGATCAAGGAATGGAGGGTAATTTTCTAATGGACAAGTTTGGCCAGCAATACGGACTCTATAGTGGGTGCGAGAATTTCTTTTTAACAGTGAAGACAGTTGTCCTCAACTGCCTCTATATAAGCAAATGTAGTCGTGGTAGTAATACGAAAACGAAAAACGAACATGGACGGAAATTTATAGTCGAAATGGACGTGAGGATAGACTTAAGCTGAATATGGAATGTGAGTAAAGCATGTTTATGATATGAGCATTCACATGTGTATTGTGCCATCGTTATTTGAGTTTGGTAGTTAATGATTGGGTTTAACTGGCGAAAAGTACAATTATGTTACATGTCCGTTGGTGGAGTTCCCCTAACTCATGTTTTACTGCGTTTATACCTCCCCCGCCCTCCAGCATGTGGGGTTGTCTTATTCATCATGTGAATGACGCATACTTAATACACAACACTGCATAGATGTTTATTTAACATTAACATTAACATTTATGTAGTCGATCCTTGTCCAGAAAAAGCGTCGGTAGTAAAGGCGATCTTGTTAAAATTGGTTTTTGTCACATCAGACGAATCTTGTTCTGGGTAAAAAATCCATGTGTAAAGACCGGGGGATCGGTGTTCACATGACTTTCATATTATCAATGATAACCGATGCCAACCAATGTCAGAGATAAAAGTCAATCGTTAATTTAATGTAACATGCAACACACCAATTTTAAACAAGGTACTATTATTGTATCTGAATCAGAAGGTATAATGTAATACGTGTGTGTATTGAGGTGATATGATTAGGAAAACACAGCGCCCACTGGTACTTTAAAAAAAGCACGGGACGACTTGTGATAAAAGCTAGAAAGTGATGAAATTACTGTTAAGACAATTGATCGCTACCAATAGCCAATAGAAGAAGAACATTATGAATTCTCGGACTGGCCCAAATTGGAATGACGTGCTTTCTATCAGCTTCGTTGCTAGGGGAAACAAATTTATCGGAAGACATATTAGACAGCAAAAGAAAAAGATGGCAAGTCTGGAATGAGGAAACTCACTTCCTGATGATAGCGGAAAATGATGAAGTGCAAATTGCAATATCATGCAAGTAACTGCAATTGCAAAAATCAGGTTTAAAATTGCTATGAGACTATAAATTTATTAAAATGATGTATCAACTTAATCAAAGAAAGGGAACAAGCTTTACAATTACATTCTTTGAAAAGGTGTTTGCTTCTTCGTAAAATCTAGTCTTTTTTTGAGACGTCCAATTGCCCATTTAGTAACTTTTATTCCGGGACGTTGATCAGAAGGCTTTTGGTTCTGATATTCAACGCAGTGCTAGTCAGGAGACATTTGTGCGGCAAATATGCTTATTTGACTTTATTGTAGGAAAGTAGCTAACGTCTAATTCCATAATTGGTAAAAAAAAACTCAAACTGTAACAATAAAAAAGTTATTGACGTCTGTGGTTTCCGTTTGTTCTCGCACTAGTTCTTCCACTTGATAATCCTCACGCCCACAAGTTGTCATGTGCAATGGAATGAGGGGATAGATAAGATATAATAAAAAAGGAATCTAGGTACGAGTCAGGGGACTGTGAAACTGGGTCATTTTTTAAAAAAGAAGGCTTGAAGTTTTCTGGAAGTAAAGATGTATTGTATACACTGAAAGTTCATGTTTGGGATACTTGGATGTTAATTTTATGCGTAATATCTATTGTTACAGTTTGCGCGCGCTTTAATTGAGCTTTGGAAGATGGTAAAGTAATCGTAGGTATGTTCGTGAACAGGAAATTTTTACCTAACTTAGCTTGCACTATTAAAATAGTTGCGTCACTTAAGGCTGAACTAGTTCCGAGCAATTTATATATTATTTAGTGCATCGAATATCTACCCTACTCGTCGGGTACCAACCGTTGAATTGAGGGGATAGTTTCATATTAAGTTTGAGAATTAATATTCGATTTGTTGGTTTGACTAATCAGTTTTAAATCTTATCGCTTGCTCTTTTATTAAAAACTTTATTATTTAGAAGATCATAATCTTAAACTGTTAGATTGGTCGGCTACGTACTGATAGATACACAGTCAAATTCACTTAACGAAGACATTCGTTTCTACAGTTTTGCTTTGTTAACCTAAAGTTCGCTTAATTGAATTGATGAATTCGTTCTGGAAAAAGCTTTGTTATAAAGCGATATTCGATAAAGTGTGACTTCTTAAAGTAAATTTCACTGAATAGTTCAATTTCGTAACGACTCAAAAATGGTTTGATGAGCTGGAATGCTATGTAATGAGAAAACTCCCCGCAACCATATAAATATGCATCACACGTACATACCGCAAGTATACACCGTAAGTACACACTGCAACATTGTGACGATGGAATTTCGATCGCACTGAAAATTGATACGGTCTTCTTTGTATCAATGTGACCATTTTTCTAAGTGGGAGAGAGATTTACCAATGTGACTTGCATATCTGTTGTATCGCCGTAAACACTATTTGTCTCTGAGCTTTTTGGAGGGATAACACAAGCCGGATTTTGCAAGGATATAATAATTCCGGGCACTGTTAAAGGGAAATAATGTCAAGGTACCTCCTTGGTTCTAGGTCATCGATGTCACCAGATCAAAATACGTGGGAAAATTTTCCCTTCAAGTGTCAGTAAAATATTTGCTGTAACTAGGCACAGAAACATTAGAACGAGGAGAGATAAAATATACAATAATGAACAGTCTATTACTATTGGAAGACATTGCAAGAGCATACTTCGAAGTACTCATCACAAAATCAGAAATTGCTGTTCAGCATGGTAAGGATGAGACTGTTTGTGACGTCAAAAATTTATTAGGGCAGAGAATGCAGTCAGCTTTGCACACCAGTTGACTGCAATAATCTCATTCAGGGTGTAAAACTCGGCAAAGTTGTAATGAGTCTAAGCATGTAATAAAAAAATAATTAATACAAAACGGTTTGATTATAATTTTTATTTTCACACCTATCCCTTGACAACTTAAATTAATAGTTTCTAGTTTTCTTTAAACTGCGTTTTCAATGTCACTTCCAACTCATATTTTTCTCATTGCTTTTGTTAATTAATAATTGATTTTAATTTTGAATTATTATGTTTGGATAATCTTTTGAATAGTAACTGAGATTTTGTGGGTCTTTATTGAGCACACATGGGTTGACCCTAATTTACTTTATTCCATTAACTGATGATAATACTTAATTTTTCGAATTTAGATTTGACGATGTTTTAATCAGCAAATTGCATATATAATTCCATCTGAAATAAAAAGTTAGCCAGTCAATTATAAACATCCCCCCCCAAATAATGGTTATTAAAGATGTTAGATTCATCGATGCTATCTATATGTAAACGACGTCCAATTAATAATATTGTGTACAAATAAATTTCAGTGTAAGACGTATTTGTACGAACTGTGGGTAAGTCTTAACGGCAATCCATTGACTAGGTCGGCGGCCGTGCCTATGAGACGAGAGGACGAAAGTGAAACTGATTCACTGAATAGGGTTGAGAATCATGATATAAACATTTTAGTCAATGATTGGTGTTCTCCGGAATTATTTGTAACAAGGGAGACAAGAAAAATAATGAACTGATCTCTAATAAATGTTAGTTCTGTTGTTACTCTCGATAAAGGAAAACCCGTGACGATGAATTTTACCGAAAACGGTTTGAAATATCAAATTGTTTACGTATTTTGTGCTACCGATCTGCAAAAAGCAATTTTAAGAGTTCTTGCTCTCACACAGCGCAGTTGGCTTCGCGCACATTTTCTTGTTATCACCCACCATAGCAACTTCTTGATCAAATGACTCGCCAGTCTCGTACAGTTTTTACCCCTGATCAACTTGCCATCCTCCACCGAAAATTTGCGGGGGGAATGATAAACCACCGTAAAACCCAGTTGATTGAAGAAGCAGCCACCGAGGCTGGATTATCAATTGAAAAAGTCAAAGTAAGTTGGAGGGAGTGAGGGAATGAATGTAAGCTTTTTTTTTTTTTAAATACTTTTTTCATGAATCGTACTAATTCTTAAATATTAATATCAGAATTGGATAACTAATCAGAATGCGAAATGCAAGGCTGCCTTCGTACAGAAAAAATCACGTGCTACCATCAAAAAGAGATCTCTCTCGGGATTCAATATATTCTTTAGGAACTTCTCTAACAAAGGAACTATTGAGGGTAAACGTCTGTTCTTGTAATTTTTTACTAATGATATTTGCTGACTTTAACCATTTAGAGTATCTGAGAAATCACCCTGAACTCGCAATTGACGAACAGTTGAGTAGTGCGAATAAGATGAATATGGTGATCAGTCACGCGTGGGGTTGCCTTTCCGATAAGGAACGAATGGCATACGAGGAAGAGGCGAAAGCAGTGACAAAAAGAGTGAAAGCTGGTAAAATTGATAAAACTATGTATTGAGAATTTCTCAAAGTATTCTAACGGCTTGGATGGTTTACATTCCCGTAGCGAGAATCAGACAGCAGATGATAGATCATTCGTTCAAGACGATACAGGAGCATGTAGGTTTCTGTTGCTCATAGTCTCTTATTGTAATTTGCTTTCGAAACGTACTAACAAGACAAGGTCATAGTTTCATATTCTCCACTCTCAGGGGTGTCATGCAGTCTTTGCTATATTTGACGGTCACCATACACCGGTCACATTATATTCTGGTGCAGGAAAGAAAGCGGTCGAGTTGTGGGAACAAGTTCACATGGGGCCGGACACCCTCATAACTTCGGAAGCTTTAGTGGCTTTGACATCTGGACCAGAAGAAAGTAGTAAGTGTTTCTGCACGTATTGTCTTTGTAATGTTAAGGATTAAGCTGTATTAATATGTCATAGTTACAAACTACTCGTCTTATAAAGAATGGAATGAAGGCGAAAGAGGGAGAACAAAACTAGCGTTCGAAGAAGTTGAAAATAAAGAACAGTTGGAGAATACTGAGATGGACTCGGATGATGATGCGGGTAAGTTCAAGTGTTTGCTTAATATAGAACGAAAGTCTGTTGCTAAATAGTTAAATAGGGACGTTAACATTACGGATCTATTCAGAATCGGTATCGACGGTCAGAAGTAGTTCCACAACTACTGTTAGGCGTTCTATAAGATTGGCGGAGAAAAGAGAATGGAATAATTTCGTTTCCAAGCGTTAATAAAAGTAATTTGTGATCGTACCCGTATTGCTGAAATAAATAACGTCAACAGTTATTTGAAGTTGGCGTCACAAATAAAGACCGTTAGTTGTATGTTATATTTGATATAATTAGACTCGACTAGTATAAAATATTATTTAATTTGTAGTATTGCGTATGTCATTGTTCATCAAAGCTGAGTGTCTAGAATCTATTAACCAATCGCTCTCTTGCTCATGAACACGCTCAAAACTTGAGGCTTGTAAATAGTGACTCTGTAATTGGGTATCATAAGCTATCGTGGGTTTTTAATAATACATTTTACTGTCATCAAACCATTGGTTTTTTAATAATGGGGAGAGAAGTGAAGAATTGGCATATTTCCATTAGAGTATGCTCTTTATCTTGCACTTATTCTCGAAATAATTTATCCCGTCGCAGAGTAAAATTAACATTGTCATTAATGTAATGGGGTTCAAACTCACGTTTGCAAAGTATCTACCTTGAAAGTATTTCATGCAATCGATGTATCAATGCTTTCTGTAATCTTGTAATTATGTGGTACGCTCGATAGACATAATTGTTATTCTTTGCATAATTACTAGACGTTATTTTATATACCGCACGTAAGGTGGATGTGGGGTGACTCGATGATGTGATAAAATGAATCAATTATGAAAGTCACGCTCAACGTCTAAACACCATTTCTATGACTATCCTTTTTGGTCTCTTAATATAACCATTTTGGATTACAGTTTGAAATAGATACTGTTAATATTATATCCATTTTATTACAGTAGTTTACTGCTTATATTTTCGATGACTTTGAGAGCAAGATTGAGAATATAAGCATTATAGATGCACACACACCCAATCTCATAGTTGCAGTTCATTAACCAGTAGTACTGTCTCGCAGATATTTATTGGGAAAGCGTTAATAATAGTGATTGTTTAGTTGGCGCTTTTTCTGTTCAAGATGAATGTAATAATGCCGTCTATGAATGATTTGACAATAGTTAAAAAAAGTCTTGTACATCGAAATGATATAAGTACACCTTTTTACTAAAAGTCTCCTAAAACTATCAGCTCGGAATGAAAGTTTATTCTTTGGTATGCATCCTGGTTTAGTTACGCTCAGATGCACTCGAACATATTGAGTGAATTGCGTGACCGCACGATCAGTTTTGAGACTCTTTCATGCGCAGGGAATGAGTGGCAGGGGAGAATATGGGTTATGGTGGGTGTCTACACCTGCAAATCTGGGGTATTCCTAAAGTAACATCGTCTCTTAAATGGCTCACTGTTCTTTGTTCAGGGAAGTATATTTCTCAACCTGGCCTCGTTTGATAATTGGGCAAATTTCACAATTGAATGTATTTATGGTATAGTTCGTATTACTCGTTTGTCAATCCCATCCCGAAATTTATCCATTTATGCTTAACCTCTGTTGGCTTACAGCATGGGAATGTTATTTATTGGTCTACATTCATATGATTATTGAAAGCACAAGCAAAGGCACACACTATGTACAGCGCAAAACCTACTTTCAATAATGCTGCCCGATAAACCCTAATTATTCACGGTGATTCTAACTCCTTGTGATACGACCTTGTGATTGTAACATGTTCCCCGCATTTAACGCAGTAGTTATATGGGCGGATATTAAATAATAAATAATACTGATCGTTTGTCGCTATTTATAGAGAAATTTCATACATTCATCTGCTATAACACCTATTACTGTACGAGAGTCGGTCGTAGTTACTTACGTGCATTATCACTTTGAAAGTTATAAATCATATTAATCGTTTATTAGTATACGAGGTGCTGGATCAAATTGCGTTAGCCTAACCTATTAATACAATTGCGGCAGGGCTTGAGCTAGTTTATTATGGTTATATCGATATTTTGCACACATGAATATGAGTTCGGAGTAGCATTATTTAGAACTCTGTGATTGATCTTCGCTTCGGACGAGCACGTTTAGCAAGACATCTGTAGATCAAAATCCAACATTCTACAACTTTCTTGAAATACAGCCATGCTCAACTCCGAATTAGGCTTCCATTCCACCATTCCCCGTTATTTATAAAAACTCTCAGTCTTTACCTACCTGTCTGTTACCCAGCATTGACGCTATCATAAAGTCATGAGAAAGGGAAGGCTAACGATTAACATAAAGACAAGCTTATGAGAAATAGACTGACAAAGATATTCAAATCAATTGATGATTATACACACATAACTAGACACGCATAACACAAACTAAACGCACATTACTAAACACATATTACTAAACACGCATAAAGACGTACGCTTCACAGCTATTAACGAACTTAGCATTTAACTTTTATTTATTTAACTCATACATTCACACCTATTCATACATACCAATTCACTTTCTACTCAATTCACACGTCACACTAAACCATAACAATGGATTTGTCCTGGTGTCCAGCTTGTGACAGACAAGTCTTTGCCATGGACTCTTTGTACTGCAGCGAAGAATGTCAACGCCAAGATGCTATATCCCTGCCTAATCCTTCAAGTCTATCAAATTACACCTTTCCAAGACGTCACAGTCCGAAAAATTCCTACTCTGCGTATACATCTCCTTACATAACACCTTATACCTCCCCCATCGGATCTCCACTCTCGTCACCAATGCTATGCTCCACACGAAGATACGATGACTTTGAAGCATATGATGACTTATCAGCTTCACCCGAGGATTTACTGTTGTCAAGTCGGTATGGTCGAAGAACACAGAATACCTCGCAGGCAGGAGGAAAATATGAGGGAATAAACGATGAAGAAATGTGTCTAACGGTAGTCCACATGAGTGCTGTTGTTACCGCCGCCAAAACGACAGTCACCACAATAACGGTAGAGACACGAGAAGTACAACCGGTTCCAGTGCTTAAGAAGAAAAGGTCTCTCGTTGAAAATGCCTGGCGCATGCTCTTCAATTAATAATATTATATGATAGGATGCTCTCTGGCAGACACGGACAGCTTGCTGTGCGAAGAGACATGAGAGTAGATCTCTCGTAAACATCTTAGAATGACATTATCCTGAAAGTATAAACGATATAAACGAGGCTTACCTCTTGATGAGGATGGTTTATTTGTGTGATTGTGATCACGTGGCAAAATTATACTATGCTCGTGACAATTTATATTTGTTAGGTTTCTTTTTGCATATATCAGCGTACATTTATTCATACTTGTTTCTCCCCTCTCAAATTGCTTGACAGTATTGAGAGTGATAATAGCTTCTAGTCTTTAATGTTAATTTCCATTTCCCTTCTCAACAAACGACTTTAATAATTAATGTATAGATATTAGCAGTTATCTATTTGTAAATGTTTGTACTAATGAGTTTCTCTATCCCTACCAATTCATTGTATTATAAGTGTAGCTTTTGTTATGGCAGTCAATTGTTCGGTAACCTTTCATTCACTTTTAACTTACGTGATTTCCGTTACTTAGTGCGTGTGTATATCATAATAAACTGGTGGATAATCTTTGTCTGTTCGAGCTAAACTTGTTACTAACGTGTTATGATACATGCGGTCGATGTGTCGTCAATTCATACGTTTTCATAACAAACTGCATATTAATCTCTGTACGAGAGATTGTATAATTTACGAAACGGTCATAATAAACTTGTTTGCAAACTGCTCTTTTCGAGAATCCATCACAATTTCAAACAACGGATCAGATACAGTTTACGAGCTCCTTAATTGGACATAATTAAACACAGCGTAAGAAACTCGATAAAAAAAATTAATCAATAAAAAGGGACTCCGAACCAGTTTTGTATTAAGTACTATTATAAAGAATTTGTATAGCAAATCTCGATAATATACTGATATGTGAAAAGGATTCCAATAGCCAAACATAATCGCATAAATCGCGATATAAAGAATGTTTTGATATAGGAAATTGCATTCGATAAAGATAAGAAATGTTATGCTCGATGCAAGAAGCAGGCGATATAACAAAAATTTTGAACTATCTTTTTTATTCTCTATATTGGGGACAAATTAGCGGAATTCTACAATAAGGATAATTCTTGAGGGACATCCTGAATTATCCTTTCTTATCTCTCAGAAATTATCAGAAGCACTGCAAAGAAGCAAATAGCAAACAAAGCTCAGACCAGTGTCAATTGCATGCGACTAATAAGCGGATAAGTCATAATATTTAAAATATACGGCAATGCATACTCCATTAAGAATTTCCATCTCGTCTTTGAACAAGAATATGAATACAATCAATTTTATAAATTAAGCCTCACAAAAAAAATACCCAATTAGCATTAGTCTCCGCGAAGTATGTCTCTAGCATTGTTAGCTTATATTTAAAATCGATTGCCTATCGTGTACAATTTTTATTTCGGAATTTATTAAATATACTCATGTCGAGCTTAATTGGGAGACGGGTAAACCTTGAATAAAATCCGTACAAGACTGTTTTATCAAAGCTTTGAGCCACTAAATTGTAAGACAATGGACGAAGTTAATATTGTAAATTGACTTTATCAAGACGTAACCAATTGCGGTAAGTCATACCTGCAGCTGAATCAAAATCATAACTGTTTCTCGGTTCGGGCGAATTTACAGTAGGTAAGAGTTTACTAGAGTATTTACTTCTTTTTCGAGACGTAATAAGGGTTTTACATCATTGTGATAGATGGTATTCCATATGTTGCTGTAATAATTATTATGTAGTATCCCGGTGATACGATTATAGGTTTCTGGACGCTTATCAGATCAGCATCACAACAAAGCTCAGCAAATTTCTTGTACTCTTCTGGGCATCAATGGTCGTAGTTCACCCATAATAAGTTCCATCAAATTGCCTATTTCTAAATGGTGGCTCATCATATTTATAATATACCCAAAGAATATACGTCTGATTTCTGAGTAAATTCACACGTATGAAAGACTTCTGGCGAGGAACTTTTATTCACAACGAGGTGCTCGCTAAAGCCCAGTTTAAGCTGTTTTTATCTATTTACATATCCTGTAAAGGAAGAGAATAAAAGCCCAAGGTGCAATAAAGGGTAAAAGTGCCTCGAACGGTTGAATTTTGTTTACCGATTGAGAAAGACCAAATCACATATAAATGCAAATTTTTCGGTCTCAGACTTATCCGTATCATGCAAAACTATGTTTCCGCTATGAATATGGCGCAGAAGCAATGTTAGAATTTCCTGTACCACGTCAATTTGTTAATATTTTGATCCAAATAAGACAAAAGACTACCATTGTCAGCATATTGCACAACAAGCATGTACTCGTTTGTTTCTGGAATATGGTATTGCTTTGAATACTTATACTTGGCAGTATAGACTGTTCTGTAACCACCAGATCCGATCTCTTTGAGTTCATAAAAGTCGGCATAGTGCATATGCCGTGCACAAAAAGTGTGTTACATTGCACATCATCAAATAAAACCGTGAAGTTCAGCATTATTCATTCGGTACAATTCTCTTTCTCGACAAGGGTTTTTGACAACTGCAATTTATAAAAAAGTTTGTTTGCTTGTTCAACAGTTATATGCACGCACAATGCAGACACACAATGCAGACACTCTTGGTAGGCACATATTAAATCCCCTCGACCAGGTAAACCGATGATATCCGCTGTTGAGATTAAAATGTTGAATTTCTCAAAGTTCATAAGCGCTGGACTAACCTTTTCTGGTACGATTTTTTACCGGACCATTTCGTATTTGTAAATCAACGCAGTATTTTTATTTGTCATAAAAACAATTATATATGTCTTGTTGATAATAGCAAAAAACAAATAATGGTAAAGAAATATATCCAGGCTGATAGGATAAGCAAGAGAAGTAATACGCTTAGCCAAGAATCCGTAATTACATGTTTTGATTTTAAAAGTCAACCCGTCAACTTATAAGCCGTTTCTCGAAGTTTGCTTTACCGAATATACGTGTACACGTAGTAAGTACCCCTAATACTAAATAGCCTAACGACCCGTACCCTCAAAATCTCTAAAACCTCTCAAAATCTCAATTAGGACCCGGGAATTTTTGGTTCACGTGAAGTTTTTGAAATGTACTCGTCCCATGTTACACGAATATGATATGGCATGCTTTCCTTGGCCAAGTGATCTTCCGGCGATAAAATTGAGTATTTTTCCAATCAGAAGTTGCAGTCTTGTAAGCAGTAGCACCTGTAAAGGACCTTAGTATCTCAAAGTTTTATTAGACGTTTTACTAAAAAGTGCCCCGTTTATTCCTGCGACAATATATCTGTATATAACTATGATATAAAAATATATAATTATGACTACATAATCACTAAATAAAATAATGATATAAAGTATAAACATATTACGACATAACATTAATATACCATGATATTGTCTTCCCTATTATTTAATAATTACGATTGTTACAACTCCAGATAATCTTAAGTCGTTTCTTCTTCAAATTGTTGTATTTTCCATTTACTCCATAATCTTCGGTCAATCCTGTGCGGGCTGGGTCTCTTCTTTTTTTCCGTTTTTTTGGTACTTTCATCGCAGTTTCTTTCGAGGCCATTCGGTGTGCTGTGAAATTAGGATGAATATTTCGCGTGTACTGTATTTTTATTGGATTTGAAATAACTGCGGCAGTAAGAAATTATACGGACTAAGTATTTTACAAAACCTTTTATACTGTACCATGGGGTACTATACGGTACTTTGATCGGTAGTGGTACTAGGGGGTACTATGATAGGACTATGTAAATCGCTATTTTATTGGCGTAACGTACTTAACATCCTGCTTGCTTTAATATAAGAAAAAAATGATTCGAAAGGCACGTATTACATGTCCATGTAAACAGCGTCGTTCTTGGTGTTTTAGAGAGGGATATAATAAGCATGTTTAATAATAAACGCTGTACCATGGTACTTTACAAGTATTTCGTGTAACAACCCGATCATAGTACCATGGTATTTCACATTCCATGAACTTCAAAATGGTGGGATGGTACTATGCTAGGGGTCTGTGAAATACGGTAGGTATAAAACTACTTCTGTCAATCATTGATGAAAACCGATAAATAAATCCAACCGTCCCTAATTGTAAACACTACCTGACGGATCATCACTACACTAATCTTGTATTTTACTTAGCTGTTATGACCAAATGCGGGAGAGATTTGTTAGTATATTCAACTGGAAGAATGTTAAACGAATGATGGATAAGACGTGAGAATGTTACGGTGTGGGTATGTGAGTTTATGGAAAATTGAGACTGAAGAAGAGCAATCCTACACCGCATATTAAGTTCAGAACTAGCTCCCGCGTCGCAGCTTTGATTGATGAATTAAGGTAAGAAAATAACAGCCCATGGATGAAATTATGATTCACAAATTTAGGTACTAACAATTGCTATTCAATTAGATCAAAATCATTAGTTTGTGTATTGCATACATTAATTGTTATGCCAGATCTGTACATGCACACCTCAATTTTGGAAATTGCAATTATTATAATAATGAAAGAAAAAACTTTTTTATAAGTGATAAGGGAGTGTAGTGAAGAATTTAATGAAAGCATTCAACAACAATCAACATTTTGTTTTGATGTTTGGTACATTATTAGATTTGTCTCACATTCATGATTTCTATGACAAGCTGTCTGTGACAGTTTTATTATTAATCACATACACTACCTGTACAAGGTTGTGCACAAATTTATTAATTAATTGCATGTAATGTATTATTATTTGGTTTTGAAGAAACATGTGTGTAAATTTCATGTTATTTGTAAACAGACATCAGATTATATAAATAAACTCTTTAACTCTTCTGCGTCCCTGATCCTAAAATGTTTCCACAGGTAGAAGTAGCATCATTAAATCTGACCTATTTCAACATGCAGCATCCAAGAATTCGCTTAACAATAACAACACATTGAGTCATATTGTGATGTTTTATAGCACTTCACCTTAAATATGGTATTGTTCAAATAACGCCTTACAGCCTGTTACCAAAATCGGCAACACAATTTAAATCAAAGTATGCATATCAACGATATCCTTCAATCTATAACTTTCAGCATTAATCTTAGTACTCGTCTGGCCGAGATGTTGCAAATATATGTTCATGCAAATATTTGTTTCGCTTAAAGCGGCCTTTTGAAGATACATTACCGTTTGAGATTTTTAATGCAATGTGCAAATACTAATTCGGTTCAAAAAGTTTTTTTTGTACAATATTTACAATTGAGATTTTCTAATTAGTCAATGATACGAATATCTATTCAAGTCAGAAAAAGTTGTGCCGTACCTAATTTCAGACTATCTGAGATGCTTTTTTTTTAAAACTGGGAGTTATTATGACAAAACGCATAAATAAATCAGCATTTTAATTAGTCCAAAATTGTTTATTCTATTCGTGTAATGGCTTGATAGAAAGTATGCCACGAACAATGTAAGGTCAAAAAAATATTGGTTACTTCATTAGTTGAAACATTATTTGTTAAATTTGAAACATAAATTATTATGTGTGCCACTAATAAATTCGTGTGTGCGTTACTTTTGTCCAGGCAGTGTATGTTTTCATATGTACCAACACATGGCTATATAATGGTCATGGTAAAAGTATATATTATTATCATGTTTATAAGCAGATGTAAAATAAATAGCTTTTCAAGTAGACACAAGCATCAGATTATATTAACTCACAGTTAAAAGGGGTCCGTATTATTTCATCGACAATTATTTCACCGACAGTACATTTCACCGACAATTACCTACTAAAAAAGGATAGATTCGAAATAATGCTGGTAAATATTTGTCGGTGAAATGATTGATTGCCTCTCGTTAAAAAATACCTGATAAAAGCATCCGGTTAAATTGATTGCATACAAAGACATTTTGGAAAAATTTATTCAGAAATTTATGTCTTGCATCTCGCTAAATTATTTTTACTTAGGAGTTTTCATAAGTTACTTTCAAAATATGTATTTACGTTTAATTTTTCTGACTGTTATTTTTGTAACCGTATGATTCCCCTTAGTTTAGTTTTAATATTAAAGTGTTCTTTCCTCAAAAAACTAAACCTTTACCTAATTGGTTTGAAACAAAGAGCAAAATCTCTTTACATTAATACATTGATAATAATGATAATAATGATAATGATAATGATAATAATAATGAATATAACAATAACAACAACAACATTATTCCTCCAATACCAGTCTCTTCTTCTTGGTTTTCGAATATATCCAAGAGATATTCCACCTCCTCTTGGTAGACGTTGGTTTCAGAGCTCTCCGGGCTCTCCGAGTTCTCCGGGGTGGCAGTGGAGGGTGATTACTGCTTTCTAAAAAATAAAGTTACTCTTCTTAAGATTATATAAATGACAGTCTAGAAAAAAAAGTTGCATTTATATACAAGTTTTTCGATACTATTCTATACAAAGTATATAATAGAAAATGTGTATATAAAAAAATGCTAAGGCGTTACGCCGCAAAAACGACCGACCGACGACTCACATGTACGCGCCATTCCAACCCCAAACGACCTCGAAATTTGCATACTTTCTCTGAACACGAAAATGGTGTTGCTATAGTTAGTCGCTCCTGCCATTTTCAAGGAGCTTATTATAGCGTTTGGTTTTGTCTGGCGACTCCATTTCGGTTGTTGGTGATTGGATATTTGTTATGTCCCGTTAAATATAGCCATAGTGCCAACTTCTTTCATGTTCAAGATGTTGGTTTCAGAGTTCCGGGCTCTCCGGGATGGCACAATGGCTTCTAGAAAGTAGAAAAGGATGTTAACACTTTTCAGTAGCATTGATAGAGAATACACAGTAGTAACATTCTTACTATTTGCAATGCTCGTAATAGAAAAATTTCTGGACAGACGTTTTTCAGAAGAGCTGGCAGTCCACTCCCTTGTGGACTCTTTTCTGATAATCATCCCTGTTTGGAGTATTGTCGTGCTCTGGAGGCTCTTCCCTTGTACTGCTTTCAGAACTCGTCGCTGAAACATTGTTACAGAGAATGTCTAAATACAACAGACATTATTGTATAGAAGTTTTTTAAAACGTAGAAAAAGAGTTCAAGCAAAGTATTAAATATTAATGGTACTGAGATAGAGTAGTACAGAATGATGCAACTATTGAAAGGTGATGGTGTAGGCAGGCCGTAAAATCACTTTATAAAGTAGTCCTTGTTACAACAACTGATATAGCAAGGTACTTCTCAATATGTTTTCAATTATAACAAGATTGTCTAATAATGCAGGGGTAACTCAAGCATGCAGAGCAACAATCGCTACTAAAAATAAATACAATAATTGTTGAGGCTTAGATCGAAGACACAGAAATAGAGTTGTCATTGTCAAATGCAGCGATGAATCGAGCAACAGTTACTACTAAAAATAAATGTACAAAGCAGGTATAATTGTTGAGGCTTAGATCTTCTGAAGACGCAGATAAAAATAGAGTTGTCGTTGTTTAGTGCAGGCGGACATTGAGCAGATATATTTCTTAACAAACCACCGCCAATAAAACGCATGTTTAAAAAGTAATAAATGGTCTAGTTAAACTAGCGATTAAATATATAAAGGTAAATTGAGAAGTTTAACTATGAAAAACCAAAAGGGTACACCGATGTCATTTACGTAGAGGTTTCAACTTTTTTTTTTTTTAAGGTTTAAAATAATGCGACATTCGGATGCAAGCTTTTCAAACGGAGAACTTGTATACCTGTTTTTAGGAATAGATTGTTGCTTTGCATATTTGATCATACTATATCAACGATAATCTTGACAACGTAGAGTAGATATTTGTAGCAAATCTATTTTTAGAGACATCGCAACTCTATTTCTATTTGGTGTCCTTAGATCTAAGCCTCAATTATTATTACAACGATGCTGTAAATGATGCCTGTTTTGTACATCTATTTTTGGAATAAGCGTCAGTAATTGTTGCCTTCACACTTCTGTGCTCAAAGTTGATATCTTTGTACATCTTTTTTTAGATAATCGTCAGTAATTGTTGCCTTGATTTATCGCTGCATTAAACAATGAACTAAGCCTCAATGATTATTACAAACAATGCTGCAAAATGATGCCTGTTTGTACAATTGTTTTTGGGATAATCTTGTAGTGGTAACAATTCAATTGGTTTATCTAACAATAAAGTTGTCAAATATCTAATTAATGTATAGAAATGTCTGTTGGGAGGTACCACCCCGCAATTATACAAAATTGCCATATCAGTTGAGAAGACAAACGTTATTTAAAAACATTGTCGCTATTCTATATATAAAGTTGCTGTCTGTCGCGCAATTTCTCCATAACAAAGTTCTTCCCTCTTAAATCACAGACATTTAAACATCATGCTCTTCAACTTCCATTACCATTATACCGCCCATCGCTATTTGGAGGACGTTATGAAACGAGCAGATGAAGCTGAGGAAACAACAGCAATTAGCCGAATTAAAGCCCAGCAGGATTATCGCCATACGAGCGATGTTGGACATCGATTTGGCTTATCCAAATTATTTTGCACAGCTGAGTCACAGTACCGGGCGAATGTCCAGGCCAGGGAAACCGGCGGCGTTAGAATTTGTCCGTCTTGAAGTAAGGATTTATATTGTTAGAGCTTGCCTTAATGACTGTTTACTATTTATTTATTGTAACTTTTTTACAAACAGAAAGATAAAAAAGAGTTGGTGCTTAAGTTTCGGGCACCACAGGATTCTGGATTGGCTTGGCTTACCATACCAAGTTTAACAAATGTTTGGAGGCGGTCTGCAAAAAAGACGACCAGAAAAATAAAAGCTGCACAACAACGCATAGTTTATACTACCGTGCATCTACGGCCACCTCAGTCGTTTCACTTGAGCTTTATGCTCACCATTGGTAAATGTCTTAAAATATATTATACTTTAATACTGTAAATAAGAAGGGGAAAGTAATTTGTCATTACTTGAATCTCTCTTTGTTGTAACAAACATGTCATTGTACTTCTTTCCCTTCATTCTACAGATAGACTCACTCACCCCCTGGTACTCTTCCAATCCTTTATAAATCTAGCAAAAAAACACCTCCCTCCCCTAGTAAATACAGTCTTATGGAGCTTTTATTCTCATCCTCTACATGTAAGCAGATAGGTAAAAACAGCTTAAACTGGTGCGGATAAAAGTTTCTTGCAGTTATTACTGATTTTTGTTTGATGTGATGTATACTTGTCCCATACCATACGTGTACTAATACTAGTACTCAAAAAATGATAAAACATGATTTATTATGTATGTAAAAGTAGTGTATTTGTGTGTATTCTTGTGATGTATTTGTGTGTACTTATGGTGTGTACTTGCATTATGCAATGCACTTGTGATGTGTATTTATATGGTTGTGGGGAGTTTTCTTGAAAAGATCTATATATTATTGATGATGCAATACTTTTGTATGTGAAATGATAGTTACCAATGTGTTAGACTCTTTGTGGTTGTATCTAGCATATCCACTAACACAAAACCTCCTTTATTATTACGTGTAAATATTCTCAGAATATTTCAAGTCTGTTAGCAATTTCTTTATTTGTTCATCAGCTGACATAAGCCCTTGTTCCATTAATTGAAATATAATTTTTGGAAAACTGCCTTGAATAGTTGCAGTGTTAAGATCAGCATTCAGTAACATGAAGCAGTGCTACCAGTATTGTCTGTTGATGTTATTCTCAATTCAAAATGTATGGTTTTACCACCAACATACTGAGCAGCCACTCCTGTCAGTGCTAATATCAGTGCTAATAGAAGGTATTGTCTTTTGGAACATTCAAGGAAGAGTTTAAATTGTTGGATGATAAAGGACTTCCTTGTTCTAGCAAAATCCATAGAAAGAAGAACAGATATAATATTGTTTGTTTGTTTTTGAGCCCATCATGTTTGGAGAGGTTTTGTGATAGGGAGAAGGAAGTATTTTAAGGTTGTCAAGTTGATGTTTTATGATATCAACATTGTTGACAGTGATTTCTCTTTGAAGTGTTTGAGTCAGGGAATCAATCAGGATTCCAAATTGTAAGGTGAGTTGTATTGCTTGTTGTGTTATGTAAAATCTCACATTATTTTGGAATTGTTCAGTTTTGTAGAAAAATTGCCAAGTTCTTCCTCTGATCTCCACAGATGTGTCTCTCTAGATTGGTTTCTTCTTTCCAACTTGATTGAAAATTTGGTGGGTTGATTCCATAGTAATCACTATATTTGATATTATCAAACTTTTTTGTTAAAGGTCAGCAGATATATTTTTCAATGACATCTTTGTAATAGGGCTCATTTGGGTTTAAGAGGATTAGATGATCAAACATGGAAGGTTCTGCTGAGGAATGACATATTGGTTCACCAAGAGTGCTAAGAACATCATTTCTATTGTTGTACGAGCGGTGTTGTAGTAGTTATTATTAGGTATAATCGTATTATTGAGAACGTTGCTGGGATTTCATCGATAATCGTTCGTACAACTGATTAAGCTCTCGACGCTGTAAACTTTAATAAGTCCAGTGCCATGCCATTAGAGAAGATATTAGAGATTATAGTAATGCCAGTTGAATCTTTCCAATCGTAAGTTTATTGTTTTCCATCGTATTTATTCGATCCTATAAGTATTATTCCGCCGCCGTAAGAGTTATTTCATTATTCCGTTGGAGCCTTCGACCAAATATTAAGTGGAAAAGGTGCAGAAACTATTCGAACTTTGGTTGTTTATATATCTGAATTGCTACTGCGGTATAGCTATTCTAAAATCTAAATGGTCCATAGCTATTGCTAAAATATTGATTTACATCACTAAATTTACGTCAGATCAGTGTGATACATTTAAGTGATCATCTGACATACTAATAATATTAATCGTAAATCGCTATTTAATATTAAATGCTATTATTATTATTAAATTTGTCGTATAACACCATCTTCATGCTAATATGTGTTGACGATAGTGATCTCCTTCAGATATGTTAATCAGGTGGACAGGTTCAACTTTGGCGATATACACAGTGACAGTCGATATAACGGACCGTCGATATAACGGGTTTTGCCTTATACGGACTTTTTGCTGGGACGGAATTTTTACTAAGTATTATAGCGGACTTTTATATTAAATAGTGATATAATTGGATCCGGATTAATTTGCCCGAACACATTTAACTCGATATAACGGAGTTCGTTATACACAATTAATATAAGAATAAGATTCTTTTCCCATTTTCTGCTACACGTATCTAACAAATTACAAGCTTAACATAATGTCGACTTATGGTCCTATCAATTTAAATAATAAACGAAAAAAATGGTTCTAAGTAAACAAACGAACTCGCGTTACCTTAACAGCATTAAAGAAAAAAGAATTATATTATGTGAACGTATGAGAGCTAATCCTGCACTCAAGCAAAAAGGTACGGTAAAGGAGTATAAAATATCAAAACAGGCCATCTAAGATATTTTGAAACAAGAAAAAATGTGTGGTTAACAATAGGACGGAAACTCCAAGCGCTAAGCAAATGTTAGTGGAAAGCCTGCATTTATTGAAATCGATGACGCAATGAAACTCTGGGTATTAAATCGCGGTGACATTAACCTGAATGACAGTATTATAATAGAACGTGCCTTGACATTCGCCAGAATAATAAATGTGATTGTAGCTTCGACAATCGTATCTGTTGATATAACCATATTTTTAACCTTTTCCTTATGGATATGGCGTTTGGGGTTGTATGCGTTTGTGAGGAACAGAGTCATATGAATAAATAAAAATGGATGTTGGAACAAAATTGAGCGTAGCAGTAGAAGTAAAGTGGTCTCCGTCTCGGGTGCGTTTATAGTCGTTGTAAATTGTTTGAATGGACATTTGCAAAGATTGGGTAAAGTGAATGAGCGAGTGGAGACTATATGTAAATTGAAAATTGACGTTGATAGTATATGGTGATAGCAAGACGTATTAGTGATATGGCCAGAGTACTTTATCTAAACATGTGATGTTATAACCATTACATGAGCAGATTGCTAACATCCGGGCTAAAGCAAGCAGTCTAACGGACATAATGGATGTAACAACTGAAACATTTTCGACAGAAATATGAGGTAATCAATCGAGCGTTACAAATCCAATTAGTCCCTTAGATAAATGTACCTTGGTTTTAGAGTTATAAGATATTTTAAAGCAATAATAATGAACGCGAGTATTTAGCGAAGTGTGCTGGAGAAGATGTTATCATCTGTCTTTATTGTTATAAGAACGAACGTTTAAGAATAAATTTTTTAAAAAAGCTGTTCATATTATTAAGTTGGTATCGGTAATAGTAGTCGTCTCTTGTATTATTAGCATTCTTTTTTCACAAAACTGTTTCTACTCGGATAGGCGAGCGCTATCATTTGGATGAATCATATCTGAATCCGAGTAACATGATATCACTTAATGTAACCTAAAGCTTGATTTGATTATTATTGGTTCAAGTAATGCACTTTGTTTTCTAGAAACCGAGTGTGTAAAGTGGTCATAGATCACAAAAGTTTGACAAAGGCCGCACAATATATTTTAAAGTAAAACAATGAGAATAAGTAAAGGATTGCCTTTATACATTTGTAAGATTGGATAGAATCACAAAGATCTGGCAACTAACTATAAATGGACTAATACTATGCAGTCTGCATAAATTGACGCACATACACAGGAAATATATCTCCTGACGACATTGGCGTTTTCATTCTTGTTAATCCAATAACTTGTTTATCCAATGCTCTTTGCAGCAAGTATAGAATTCTAGTCACACGGTAATAATTTGCTCTTGACGTATGAGGTATGCTTGGTAAATTTTGAACAGCTTTGAACAAGCCTTCATTGATATTGGTAAAACATCACGTGTTTGGATTTAAACCATAATATCCATTAGCGTTTTGACATGGTTGTTCGAAACAGTACGTACAAAGACATCCTGCATTAGAGCGAAAAGTGGCTAGCACCCATGTTTTCTTGATTGACCCTTGTTATTCTATGCAAGTTTTATTTAAACTTGTGTGAAGATAAAAGGATGAGTACCCTGCATCTCTCACAGTCATTTAACGTGATTCTTTACCGCATTTGTTTCAATCTTTTGTCGCGCAAATATTGAACAAGTAAATCGTCGATCGATCGTGAAATTTATTACTTGCAATGATTACAGGGGTGATGGTCCCCTGGGTCTTGAACCAAATTTAGTTTAACGTTCAATTGATAAATCTAGAAATGGCAAACCAACAAGCAAACTTAAATTTGTGACAATAGCGAATAATGTGTAAGGAAAACGAAAGTATGGGGTGTATGCAGAACGGCAGCCGATTAGTTAAAGTCGATTACCAAAACGTCAAGTGATACAATTTAAATATTTTTTTGCCCAGCTTGAATAAGCTAACTTTAACGTCCCATTGGAGAAACTTGTCCCAGAATATGTTGTACGTTGTTTATGTTATTAAATCTAGACAACAAACTAAACGTAAACAATGAACTACTGATAACAAACTGATCGTAAAATATGAAACCAATATTAATAAGTTTTAGTTTCTTGTGAACCACGTAAAGCCATCCTCTCTAAATTTTATGTACTACGGGGTTTTTTTAATGATTCTTCCATTTCGTTATATTGTCGTTTGCATTTTCGTGCTCCAAAACCATCTGTCACCCAAAACGAGAAAGCTGAATTCTAAATAGAAAATCCGATCATCGCTCCGCATGAAAGTTACCTGGGCTGCAGTAATAAATGGCTACTATTATAAACTTTATCTGATCGGAGCAGAGATAACCGAATATTTGGTGTAAATTACATAACATAAAAAAAATTAGATTAGACGATATGTACGTATTTTACGAATGTTGCTATATAAAAGAGAGCTATGCCAGTTACACATGTTCTTTTACTCAAGACCAACTGTTTATGAGGCTACATTCTTTTTTCCCTCTTCACCTCTATAATCTCCCCCACTTTCCTCGCTAGCCCCGCTCGCTTCACCTTGCTCGCTTCACCCTTTCGACTTTCCCCCTTCCCCTACTCTTACAACTCTTTTACCCTCAAACTTGATATTTTCCTTCGACCCACCATCACTCTATATAATCGGCAAACCTTTCTATACAATCACAACCAATTGTTTGGTTACATTTTTCTGCAACAGTTCATCACGTTTTCACACAACTTTTTGTTTAAATTATTCTCTCTGCGTCGACGAATTTTCACCCGAGGAGAAAAATGTCAGAAATATTGTATGATGTTTACGACACACCAATAGAGCAGTCTTTGGGAGGGACATTGATAGGAACTTCCATACTGCTTACTATATATTCTTTAGTACACATGGCGGTTCTTCGCTCGACAGCATCAAAATATTATCTGTTTCCAATTGTCAACCTTCTCCTCTTTATTTGCGAACTCCTAACCATCATAAAACTTGTGGCACCTGGTATGCGAATATGGACGACAGTCGCGCGCAATGGGCTTTTTGTCATACTCAGACCGGCTATCTTGTGCCTGGCTTTCTTGAGATGTCAAGCTGTATATGCTCCGTGCAGGAAACACAGTCGGATTCATTATTCAGTGATTGCAGTCGCGGCATTACAAGTAACCAGCTTATTCATTGCCAGCACTCAGTACAGTAAATCATGTCAAGCAGATCAAACCGAGAAATGTGCCACGGACGATTGGGAGATTATATATAATATCAATGACATAGTCACCCCCGCACTTAGATTTTATTATATCCTGTTAGAGGGCATATTCCTTGTTGTCGTTTTCAGTACATTTCGTCGCAGTAATCTCAGCGAGGATCCTCAGATAGTTCGTGAACGCAGATTTCGAACATTTTTCTTCTGTCTCGATCTATTCTTTCTCACATTTTCATCTATTTATCATCTTTTATGCATATTCAAATCCGTCATTATCACCTATGAAATACCTGAATTGTTCAGTATAGCATTCACTGTGTTCTGTATGACAGAGTTTGGGTTGATTATTCCCAAGCTATTCAAAAGCGTTCGTACTCGTGATATCGAGTTACGAAATCATCTTCCACCAAAGAAAGCAGATAGTATTTCTGACGAGTTGGTGAGCAACATTGGTGATGTGGTGCTAGGCGAAGACGAGGAAAAACAGCTTGATTCAGCGGAAAGTAAGGAAGTTGGATCAGATGTAAAGGAGGCGCACAAAATCAATGAACAGGGTAGTGTGTCGTTAGCTACTACTTACAATACAAACAATACAAGCTTTGTTTCAAATGGTAGCGAGTATGATCTTGCCACTCGCGATGTGTCTAGTATGAGACTTGAGCGAGAAATGTAAAGTAGAGCAAAAATTATTTGGTTAAAGGCTTCCGCCAAAAAAAAAAAAAAAAAACAATAAGAAAACAACCTTTTTTCTAGGATTTACAATTAATTGAAAATAAGACTTTTTTATTGAATCGTAAATATATGTATATGACTTCATACTTCCCTCTTGGGTTTTATGTCGTATCCCTGCTAATCAATAATACTCTTCGCTTTGCTCTTGTCTTGCTTGCGTTTTGAGAAACAACTTTTCATAATAAAGAGACATTGTAAAAGGCATATTTAATCAACAAATGAGACGATATCAATAGTGATTGGATGCAATGTAACTCTTACTTTAAATGTTGTATTAAATAATCTGCATACCAATTATATAAACTTGGCACAGCATTTTTCAGGCGCTCAGACGCCATGTTTACGATACAAACAAATTAAGGTTTTGTTAAGGATACAGTAAATATAATAATACATTTTGCTACAAGAAGGCGAGAAACTGAAACAATGATTAAGCGGTTACGAATGTATGTTGCAAAACTTACAACGAACGGGTATGCTATAATCAGTTAATCTGGTATTTGTCCTGTTTATCTGGCCATAGCGGCGGTTTTGTATCCGGGAATTTTACAAGTCCCAGTCCCCCCCCCCTGTATATCAACTAATCAGCATACTCAGAATTCTAGAAATTTGATAATCAATTGAGCCATATTCGTTTGTACAACGATGGCGTTATTATTGTTCTTTAAAGTGCGTGGCTGTGCTTCAGAAATGATTGATGAGACCATTGTTTTCGACGAACAATATTTCTTATTAAAAATTCCCACCAATTAATCGTTCGTGCAGGCAATTTATTAAGCTAATCAAATAAATGAATCTATGAAGAAGATACTTGATTCTTGTTATCGTACTGATTGGCGAGCATGATAACATTCACTAATGCAAAATTAACAGGCTTTTTTGTTGGAACAGAGCCCGAATATGTGGTAAAAAGAAAAGTAGTACATTCAGTTTAGATGTGACCAGTAAGATTACATTTGATACTAGGATCAATACTGCAATACTAAATACGCTGTGTATTGTGGATAAAGAATCTACTTAACATAAAGATTCAGGGGTTAGGTTGAACCCCCCCATTTTTCTTTCAAGATTACCTATAAACAGCAATATTAACGGACTCAAATTAATTAAACCAAATCTGCAAACATGCATTTAACTTGTTATCTCATAACTGGGGAGTTATAAAAAGGGCCTCCTTAACGTACACCAGGGGGTGTAACATATTCTGTACACCCGGGGGTGTAAGTTAAATTGGTACACCCCCCACGTACGGTTAATGTGATATTGAAGACTAATATCCAGGTC